GTGGCCAATACGACATCGTCGCATGATGACCTGTTCAAATCTGGACTGACAACTCAAGTAGGTGTAACCAATATAGGGTAGTAACATAGGTGAAATAACAAGACAAATATAAGACTAACTGGACTACACAGATACCAACCAGATACCAGGTTTATTACTACTTGTAGATTTTGAAAAGACATTCGATACAGTTGATTGGGTTTTTTATACACGAAACACTAAACGTGTTTGGCTTTGGTACTTCACTAAATAGATGAATAAAAACCTTTTACAACGAAATTCAATCATGTGAAATTGTTGATTATTTGAATCTATTTGTACAGCGCCGAGTTCCAGCTAGGCTGCTCACAGACGCTTTGTTTTCCCCTCACTCACAGGATGTCAATCTCAACGGCACTTCCTATAATAAATCTCAACTCCCTGGGATGTATACAACTCTTGCTGCCACTAGGCGCACTTAGTTCATGTGGCTTTCCCATCATTACGACGTACCCATTCACAGTTGGGTGGACTGGGACACTTAGTCACAGTACTTTGTCCAAGTTTAGTGCACGTTGCTGTACCCGCTACTGGGTGTTTGTACCCATTCATGTGGCCACCATCTGGTCATTTACCAACGGATTCGTGGATTCTTCTCAGTACCCAGGGTTGTGTACTGTACACTAGGGGTTCTGTACGCAAAGTTGAATCCAATGTTTTTACATCCGGTCACAGGTGGGCTCGATCCCGACACCTAAACCTCGCTGGATCACTAGCCTGGCACCTTAGACAGCTCGCCCACCACGCCCTCACTTTAAAATATTTAGTAGTTGTAGACAAGGTGATCCCTTATCTCCCTAAATCTTTATACTATGTGCTGAAATAGTAACAATAATGGTAAGAAACAACAAGAACATAAAAGGCATTAAGACTGGTAGCATTGAATATTTACTTCCACAATTTGCAGACGACACAACTTCTATGCTAGATTTTCTTGGTTATAAGTATATAAAACAAGGATACTCTGGATAGGGGAAAAAATGTTCTTGAATCAAACTATGCCAAGTGAGTGAGTGAGTTAAGATTAAAAGTCACATCGGCAGTATTTCAGCCATATCGTGACTAAAACAAATTCTATATTCATAATACATACATATAATATATAAAACCCTGTTAAAAAGGACAGTAACATTTCTAGATTATCACAAAATGAGTTAAAACTAGCTAGAATTTATCTTTAAAAGTAGAAAACTATGTTTGGACAATACAATGTAAAAATGGGCTATTGATCGCCACCCACTGAAGGTAGATCACCATACTAGTGACCATGGGGACTTACAGTACTTTTGCTACCTGCATGGACCCTAGTTAGAGTTACACCATCCCTTTAGCTGCTGGCAATTGTAGGAAACGTTAGCCAAAATTAAAAATAACAAATATACTACGTATAACATATTGGTAAGTTTAAATTTTACATTGAACTTTTTGGGACTTACGTACCCTTTCATGGGGACAATAATTTTACGATACTTTAAAACTAGGCCAAGAATGGAACCTGGATTGCAGACAAGATCTACTTGATCTACTTAGAATACAATTCAGTACCGATCTCAACGAACCATCATGTGTACTTTGGTTTCAAGAAATGTGACACCCCTTGGGAGAAATACCATACTTAAATCACGTATTCTTCCCAAATGCAACCATTTATTCTCATATCTTCCAGATCCACCAGATATTAGGCTTAAACCTTTTTTTTAAAAAATGCGTTTGGCGTTCATTTGGAAAAATTAACTCGACAAAGTAAGGATGTGAAACATCAGATTGAGGTATATAATGCCCCAAAATACTAGAAATAGTCCATGCACAAAAAATAGCCGAGCATCAAAATTAACGTCAACGTGGTGTCCATTATTATTCTTAAATATACCTTGTCCTGGTCCCTATGGTGCTTTTGACATTACCTGTAAGACACTAAGATTACAAATGATTACTAGGATAGGGAATGCATACTGCAAAGACTTTATGAAAGCCTGGTGGAATTTCATAGATAACATTCACGTTGAGAGTATAAATTGACAAGGGCATTTCAGCACAATATATATATGGTGTAACGAGAACTTAAAAATAGGAAATACCGGCATATTTTACAACGAGTGGTTTGTAAATGGGGTACGTTTCATCAACGATCCTGTAGATAACAAAGGACAATTCAGGCCATTCGAAACCTTCAAAACTCTTTTTTACACAGGTGTTGTTCAAGCTGTTAAATAGTTCTGTCGAAACCAACGATTACCCAAACTAAACACTTTCCTGCAATCTCACATTCTATATACTAGTATACCATCTGGACAAACAAAAACAAGGTTCACAGTATTACTATAAAACACTTATTAAAAATTATCCCCGAGAAATAATCACTTCGCCAAATGGGAGTTTGTCCATGGACATGATATTAACGAACAAGATAGGAAGAGTATCAATTCTGTCCCGTTTAGTTGCACGATGTGACTGAACAACAGTGGCTACAATATCAAATCTTACATCATATCTTGCCAACAAACTGTCTTCGCACTAAGATGGGTTGCGTTTACGGTACAAAATGCAGTTACTGTTCTAAAGACATGGAAGATGACATATATTTTTATTCTGGGAATGCAACAAAGTGAGTTCCATCTGGAGAGACCTGGTAAGTTGGTTATCGCACAACATGCAAGCCCAGTAACATTATCCAAAGAAAACGTTCTTTTCGGCTTTCTATCGAAGAATAACAATCCCTTAAACATTGTAATGTCAAAATGAATCATTTTGAACTTTAGAAAGAATAACTACCTATCAACATTTCAGTTCATACAGAAGGAGCACACTGCGTTATAAAAGTTAACAAAGTATACCTAGAGCTGTCATTAATTGTAATAGAGACTACTTCAATGAGGTTTGGTCAAACTGTTCTCCTAAATACCTGTCATGCAAATCCGTGTACATGCTTAGTATAAATACACAAATTATTAAAAATATATATATAAAATCTGATGTGGGTCGCAACAATACCACGTTCAACTTTCGGACGTTCAAAACGAAGTACACAAAGTGTTGAGAATTTAATTCAGTCTTATTGAATAGGAAATGTATACAGTAACAGAAAACCATGACTCAATGGATGTATATCCACAGCAGTCTCTAGAGCCAATTTGAAACACTTGATATAAGCATAGCTCATTTTTGTTTTCTTAGTCTGCCGCGATAGTGCTGGAATATTGCTGAAAGCGGCATAAACCAAATTCACTCACTATTTTTTTAGTTATGTTTATATGTACATGGCACATCATATAATTACAAAAGGCTGTTGAGAATAGTTATTTTATAGTTTGTGATAATCTCAACCAAAAGTTTGAACTTTAATGGTTTGTCATAGCAATGACTTCTCCCTTGCAAAAGTATATAATGATGTCTCCCTGCTATGCAGAGCGCGGAGTTTTCATGTAGCCGACATAGACGGCATGGTCTACCCTGTATCACTCGCCTATGAGCAATTTTGTGTAAAGACACCACTCTTCAGGTATTTTATTCAATTCTATGTCAAGAAATAAGTTTAATACAGTAAAGTAACAACAAGTTGTGAACATTAAATGTAAATTAATGTAGTTGTAGTGTTAGTTTTACACAGTGTTCTCAGTTTTCGTGCACTTCGATGTGCGAGGTATACCTTCATGTGAGTTTGTTAGTTTCACATTAGCGAAGTAATAATCGTTCATGTCAGAGCAGTGTCTGGTAAGAATTATTCATTATATTTTGCTAGTATTTTCACAAAGAGTTAATTTTGCATATTTTGTGAAAGGTGTAAAGAGCAGTGATAGTAATGCACCAGTGTCAGTGTCAGACTGTCTAGGTATTATTTTCAGCATTCAGTAATAGTGTGGATGCTTTGGATATTTATGTCAAGTACATGACATAATTGGATAAGTTTATAACTTTAAGTATATTTTCATGTTAAACGTGAGGCATGTGTATTATTAGCAGTTTAACTGTTAATTTCAGAATACACAAGATATTCATCTGTCGTGTTTAGTTCTTGCTGTAAGCAAAGCCATATGATAAAATGAATACAGTTGAAGATTACTGCACAAATTGCTAGATAAAACGTGTTTGTCCTCTTTGCCTTATGCAAGGGGACTCGCAAGCCTTTTATCTTAGTAATTTCTAAAACGGAACAATGTTGAATGTTACATCAGTGAGGTAACTGGGGAAGAAATATTCAACCGATGTGAAGTTTGAATACATGCATACTATGCTGAACATTAGTCCACACTGGGTAAATATGTATGTTTATGCTGCAGCAATTTTCCAGTATTGCGCGGCTAATGTTGGAGTGAGCGAGTTTAGTTTTAGCACTCAGCAATATTCCAGCTATATGGCGGCGATCTGTAAGTAATCGAGTCTGGACCAGACAATCCAGTGATCAACAGCATGAGCATCGATGTGTGCAATTGGGAACCGATGCTAATGTTGGTAAAAATACGAATATCATTATAAACAATATGCATGCTGAGTCCAATAGTAATTAGACATGGATCTTGAAAACACAGGGCCGCGTAGGTACAACGAAATGAAAAACATATTCAAATCTATGCTGTTGGCAACAGAACACCCTATCTCAAGTAACCCGTGAAGATCCGGGTTAGAAGTAACCTATGATGTCATAAGAGGCGACTATCGGGATCGGGTGGACACATTTCATTGTATCCCAATTGCGTAGATTGAAGCTTATGATGTTAATCACTGGGTTGCCTGGTCCAGACTCGTATAATTACAGACCGCTGCTATATAGTTTGGATATTGCTGAGTGCGGCGTTAAGCAACCAACCAACCAAGAAAACCTGTTTCAAGTGGAACCAGAAACTAAAGGTAGGTCAGTGCACAGTCACGACAATATCCTCCACAAGAAAGTAAACACAAATCTGCATGGTTGAAATATATTCTTTGGAAATAGCTAATGTTATGTGTTTGTTTTCTACACTTACCTCAACATAATGGCTGTATTCCTCACATATAGCCCGAGCCAAGCCCTGCAGTGCTGTTGAGTTGAACTCATTTTCATCTAGTTTTCCTATGGTAATGGTAAGTCCAGTTTTCTGTTTCTGAAACCTCTGCACAGACACTTGTTTGAGATTGAACATTTCCATAGGGTTTGTAGTCGATGCAATGATCAAATAGTACGTGCGATCTGAAACAAATTTTTCATATTGAGGACAAGGTACGATAAAAGATGTGTACAAGATAAATATAGACCTTTAAAAATGTTTTTGAAATCATTCCCTGTGAACATGATCTGAGGGAAAATAACAGTGCACCAATTGTAATAATAATCAGAATGCATTTTGTATTAGAAATGAGAAACACTGAAACTTCCATAGTAGCAAACTCCACCTGGTTCTTTTACAGACTGAGTTCGAGTTAACTGATAGTTTGGTGGAAACTGTTTTGGAACTGCAAAATTCCTTAAACCCTGATCATGCAGATTCTGGTTTGCAAAGTTAATTTGTATTTATACCTACAAATATGTTTCATATACAGTAACAGTCAACTTCAAATATTTTCCTTGTCTTAGCTGTTGATATGTACTTACAAAATAATATAGTGCATTGAGGTAGCATTTGGTAGCTCACCCAGGAAACACGAAGATGAAGGGCATGGCTCGAAGCTATGTTTGTGGCCGTATTTAGATGCTGACATAGAAACAATAGTAAAAAGTGTGGCCCCTTTACATCCTTGGGGGTTTCCTTCTCAACCGTGGCACAGACTTCACATGGATCACGCCCATTCATGGGTACTGCATTGATTGTTCCATCACAAGGGATAAATATTTCAATGTGAAAACAGTTCAGGATCTTTTAACGTTAATTATCATTTAATTATTGCATTTTAAAAAGAAATGGAATTGTTACATAAATGTTGATAAATGACTTGTAAATAGATAAACATTTTATTATTAGCAGTTTGATTAGCAGCTGCGATTGCGAGTGACTGTATCCTCACAGTATTGGGGTTGAAGTATTGTAAAATTATTGTCCTCCAGCGACTGATATAAATCCGTCTTCGTACCTTGAAGGTATCCAAAGTACTATTAATCCCCATGGTCTCTAGTATGGTGATTAACCTTCAGTTGCTAGTGATGTATTGCTAGTGATCTATAGCCCGTTTTCATATTGTATTGTCTTGAATTATAGTATACGTTTTTAGTTACATGCTCGTTTTATATCTGTGAATACACCAGTAGTTTTACTGTTCATAGTAAACAGTTCTATAGCTTTTAATATTATTGATCTTTACTGATAATTAATTTTTCTCGTCACGATACGGCTGAAATATTGCCGCTGTGACGATGAATATTCACTCACTCACTCCATTCATGGGTAACACTTTTTTTCATAGCGATTGATGCGTACTCCAAGTGGATCGAATGTGTGTTCTCTATGTCAAATACATAGAGAACCAAAACCCAGCTCCGCAGGGTGTCCTGTATACCAGAAACTATTGCAAATGATAATGCTAAAGCTTTTGTAGGGGAAGAATGTGCTGCATTTATGCCCGCGAATAGAATGAAACATGTGACGTCATCTCCTCATATCCCGGCTCGGAATGGCTCAGCAGAAAGGACAGTTCAAATAATAGGTGAAACAGTTGCCACTCAACTACACAAGTTACTATTCTCTTAACGGCATTCGACAACACGTGTATTCCCTTCACGTATTTTCACGTACACCGACTGCGTTCCCGATTGGATTTGATGTTTCCAAATTTGACATCTAAGGTGGGAAAGAGCCAGAAAAAAATCGTGGATCAGTCAGCACAAAGGAAATGTAGGACATGTCAAGTGAACCTGTGGAGGTGGTGGCATCGGCTGAAACGGCAGCACTTCGTCTTTCAACCAGAGTTACTCGGAAACCATCATATTTCGTGTCAAAGTGACATATACGTGAATTGAGTATGTCAAACTGACATTTTAGTTAAACTGAATTAAGGAGATTATGATCATGACCATATATCTTTAAATACGGTTGAGATAGTCCTACTCATATATTTTCTAAAACAGTTTGAATTCCATTAAGTATTACATAACAATGGTTACGTGTACCTTACACAGACAAGTGCACAATACTATGTAACCACAATAGTTAATACAATGATAGGCCAACAGACGTCCCTTTGCATAATGCGGGTAGCTGTTTTTAGTGACAGAACCCAACACCAGCCGTGTTGGAAAGTCTGGAACACAATGACCGATTTTGCTGCTAAGGCAGCACTCAACAAATCTGTGCAAGCACTTTCGATCCCATATTCGGATTACAAAGCTACCATAAGATGTTATATCCGTGATCTAATGCAAAAGACACCCAAGTAGTTGTCAATAAATTACCTGCAATTAAACCAATCATCGGTTACACTTACTTGGGTTGTCAATCCAGATTTGAAGAGATCATCATGCGACGATGTCGTATTGGCCACACACGATATACACATGAATATGGACTTAAGGTGATGATCCTCCATTTAGCATCCTTCGTGATGAGAGAATCACAGTCTGTATTGACTGTATTGATTTTTCCATCACAAGGGATAAATATTTCAATGCCATTGATTGGCACGTTTTCATTATTATGTTTCTACTTAGATAAATGATATTGTCTTACTAGGTAGCAATCAACATTGTTAATGGCTGTATCTCCAAAGGGGGTGAAAGTGTTATTGCCATCCTGAGAGGGTACGCAAATCCCAAAACAAAGTAAATCTAAACATACTACTATTTTTAAACGCAGTATATAAGGAATTCTTATTTACGGCTATATCGTGAAAAATTCTTAATAGCTGAAGGGATGGTATAAATCCAGCTTGAATTCATGCAGAAAGCAAATGTACTGCAATTCCCCATGATATTTATCTTGGTGACTTACGTTCAGTTGTTGGCAATCTATAGCCTGTTTTTATAATAATTAATTTATAACTTTATTTAGTCACGATATGGTTGAAATGCTGTGCTGTGAAATGCTTAAAATCTTAACTTGCTCACTCTTTGCAGTATGTCACAAAGCTTTATTCTAATGACGTAAGTCCAAAAACATTCAAATTTGAATTTAAGCTTGCCAGCTATTTAACGTAGTATTTTTGTTCTCTTATAGTTAGGCAATGTTTTCCTACAATCGACAGCGGCTGAAGGGATGGTGTAAATCCTACTAAGGTCCATGCAGGTAGCAAAGGCACTGTAAGTCCGCATGGTCCCTAGTATGGTGATCAACCTTCAGTTCGCTGACAAAGTCGCTGGAAAGACAGCAGACGGACGGCACCACCGATCACGTCCAGCCTTACTTCAGAGGCATGCAAGAAGTCGCAACTCAACCCGAATCCATCGACGCGTCCATCGACACCTTGTTTGCAAAAATACGAGAATTGCTTGAATGCTACACGCACATGGGCTCGGGCTGGGTCGTGGACACGATCGACACAGTCTACCTGAACATAGCAAACTACATGCCAGTAAAAGGCTGATCGTACCTGGACCTGCCACCGTACTACAAAAACAAAAAAGCCCTCATCAACCTTAAAACCACCAACGACGATATTGATAATGACTGCACGGTGGTGGCTATCATAGTTGCCAGGTACAAACCGACAGGCCATCCGTTCAGACGTTCCAGCTATCCGTCGATCGAGGACTCCGAGTTTGACTTCACGGGCGTAGAACGCTTAATATCCCTCTCCTACTGGACGCGATTCGAAAGACTCATCAACTTTGCCATCAACGTGTTCGCAGAAGGCAGAAATTAAACCATCGTGCACCGAATCAGCTCCATGCCCGACGATATGCCCAGACTCAATATATTTCTGACGGAAAAGAGGGCATCGGACATTATCACTACATGGCGGTCAGAAATCTGAACCGACTGTTGTACGATCAAACGAAACATGGTGGAAAAAAACACTTTTGCAAACGGTGTCTGCACGGCTTCACTCAAGCCGACCTGCTGGAATCGTATCGGGAGGATTGTCGGGGCGTGGGACAGACGGCCGTCCAAGTAGACATGCCCGACATAATGAAAACCAAGCTAAAATTCGTCCATCACAAGCACCAAATGCCGGTGCCCTACGTCATATACTTCGAAGCCATCGTCAAAAGCGTTGACACCGTCACTCCATCCCTAGACAAAAGTTTCACGCACAAAATGCAAGAACACGAAGCCTCCGGGTTCGAGTACGTGGTCGTTCAAGCGATGGGAAAACGAATGCTTCCTTGGTCTACCGAGGTCCCGACGCAGCCGAACGACTTCTCACGTTCTTGCAAGACGAAGAAAACATCATCAGAGAAAGTTTGTCGAACCCTGCTCACATGCGCAATTTCTGTTATACTGAAACGTGTGCCGGAGACCCCTTGAAGACGATACCGTTCGAGATCACTGCCACATCGTCGGCAAGTACCGAGGCGCCGCTCATAACGCCTACAACTTAAAGCTCAAGATCAATCCCAAAACCATAAAAAATCCCTGTCGTGATTCACAACCTTCGCGGTTACAATTCCCACTTGATCATGCAGGCCATCGCAAAGTTCGACAGTAAAATAACGTGCATCCCCAACAACATGGAAAAATACATGTCGTTCTCCTTAGACGGTCTGAGATTTATCGACAGTTTTCAGTTCCTGACATTTTCTCTAGACAGTTGGTCAAAGCCAACAACCCGAACGACTTCCACATCACCACGTATACCCATACGAATACATGAACGACTGGCCAAAATTCGATGAGACACGATTGCCTCCCATTGATCGTTTTTACAGCACCTTGACCGATTCCAACATCTCCGAAGAACATTACGCGCATGCGCAAAAAGTGTGGAACGCATTCCACTGCAAAACGATGGGCGATTACCACGACCTGTACTTGAAAACGGACATGCTGCTGCTGGCCGGAGTGTTCGAGATATTCAGAAAAACGTTCTTGAAACAGCTCAGCCCGGATCCTGCGTGGTATATCCTCTCTTGGGACGCCTTGTTGAAAAAAGACCAGAGTTAAATTGGATTTGTTAACGGATTACAACATGCACCTGTTCGTGGAGAAAGGCTTGCGAGGTGGGATTTCGATGGCATCCAAACGATATGCGAAAGCCAAAAACCAATACGTGAAAGGATATGACTCGAGCAAACCGACCAAACACATCCTCCATCTCAACGCCAACAACCTGTACGGCTGGGCCATGAGTCAGTATCTCCCCACCGGTAGGTTCGTATGGGTGCACGCAAAATATTTCACCTCGACGACAATCTTGGCTCTCCCCGAACACTTCGAGTTAGGATACATATTCAAAGTGGACTTGGAATATCCAGTGGAATTACACGAAGTGCACAACAGCTATCCGCTGGCTCCCGACTGCTTGATGGTGAACACGGACTGGATGTCCAAATATCAACAAAACTTGCTGGGAGACAACAAACCGGCTAACGTGGAAAAGCTCGTACCAAACTCGATGAACAAGTCAAAATACGTCGTTCACTATCACAACCTGCAGCTGTACTTCTCGCTGGGCATGAAATTGAAAAATATCCATAGCATGCTCGGATTCCGTCAAAGTCCCTTTGATGGAACCATACATCCGGCTGAACACCGACCTGAGTAAAAAAGCCACCGGCAACTTCGAGACAAACCTCTACAAGCTCATGCACAACTCCGTGTTCGGCAAAACCATGGAAAATTTGAGAAAACGCGTGAACGTGAAGCTAGTCAGATCCAGTGAGGAAGAAAAACTCAGGAAAATCAGAGCCAGCCCGGCGTTCAACCGAAGCATAATATTTGACGACGGCTTGGCAGCGCTGCACATGAACAAAACCCACATCAGAATCAACCGGCCAGTTTACCTGGGGATGTGCATCCTCGACTTATCCAAACACTTGATTTACGACTTCTACTACAACAAGCTGAGGAAACAGTATGGTGACAATCGATGCAAAGTGCTGTACACGGGCACGGATTCCCTGCTGATGGAAATTCACACCGAGAATGTATACGAGGACATGAAGACAAACATGCACCTGTACGACACCAGTGACTACCCCAAAGATCACCCTATACACAGCCAAGTCAACAAAAAAGTACTCGGCAAGATGAAGGACGAATGCGTGGGCACGCAGATCACTGAGTACGTTGGCTTGAGACCCAAAATGTATTCCATCAAGAAAGCTGACGACGACGAAATCAGCAAGGCGAAAGGCGTGAAAAAACGTGTTGAAAAAACACATCAAGCACATCAAGGAAGCCCTGTTCAAGAATAAAATGTTCAAACACCAGATGAATATGCTGAGGAGCGACAGACACAAGATATACAGACTGAGAATCAACAAGATGTCGCTGTCTCCCATGGACACAAAACGATGGATCGCCATCGACGGAGTCACCACTTACACGTACGGACACATGCACATATTAAATATGTAACACGCAGGCAATACATAAATAATGGAAAAAAATTTATTACAGCCCACGCGGGGGCTGGAAAGGCGCAGATCCATCCCGAAACTCCCCAAGTTTCAGAAGAGAAAGCCAAAGCCTGGCTCAGAAAACAAGCTATCTGGCAAGTCTACCTACCAGCGCCACGGTACATCCCGAGAAGAAACTTCGACATTTCAACGCCGAATCGCGTGCAACAAGCCGACCTCATGTTTCTCCCGCATGACAGGGTGAAACACAAAACCTCCAAGTTCGCCCTGACAATCGTCGACGTTGCTACAAGGAAGCCGAACCGTTGATGACCAAAGATTCGAACGAAGTCGCCAAAGCCTCAGAACGCATCTACAAATGCAGTCACTTGACATGGCCTGCCGTATTGCAAATTGATCCCGGACGTGAGTTCATGGGAGCCATGTCGCAGCTGCTGGCCAAACACAAAGTCCAAGTGAGACGAGGTATAGCAGGAGCTCACCGTAGCTAAGCCATCGTTGAGAGATTCAATCGCACCTTAGGCTAACGCCTGTTCTCACACCAATACTCACAGGATTTAATGGATCCCGGAAACAGAAACACGGAATGGGTCGTACGCTTACCGCGAGTGATTGATGCCATCAACAACGAAGTCACCAGACTCGTGGGCAAGAGACACATCAAAGCCATCAAAATGAAATCTGTTAACAACACCAAATCGGCAGCAGCACGTCGCCATAAAACGGAGAAAACATTACCAGACCGGGTAAGTGTTAGATACTTGTACGAGCCTGGCGAATATGAGGGAGACAGCAGAAAACGCGCCACCGATCCGATATGGTCCATGAAACATACAATGTCGACCTGGTCGACATCCAAGACGGCGAACCGAACTTGTACTACTTGAAAGACGGGCCGCCGAGAGTATTCGTCAGAGAGGAGTTGATGATCCTACCTCGTGACACAGTCCCTTTTCGATCGCCCACTGTATAATAATTCTCATGATTGTGTGTGTGTGTGTGTGAACGCAACAAGATATGAGCCTAAATTTGTCTCTCACAAACTGTTCAAGAAACCACATTCAGTCAGCGCTGGCGTGTGACATACATTAACAGATGAGTTACAAAAAACAAACATCGATCAAAGGATTAAGTGATAACACGCTGATTGATTAATTACTTTTATCCTGCACAGCGGATTTGTCAAAAGCTTTACATTACCTGGATCTGTCAGATGTGGCGTAACGTTGTCCTGAAATTCATCTCCTGCTCTACCAGATGGTCGAAACACAATTAATCTTGGATGCTTCGAAATTGGCAAAGGTTGACGTTCAGTGACAGTTTTTGTCATTATCTTGCTGTTTAATCTGTTACATATTGCATTTTTCAAATCTTCATTTGTCCGGAAGTTCGGCACTACAAGTATGTCATCGCTACTGATGAAGTCATGTCCTGCAAATAGACAAGAGAGTGAGTGAATGAGTGGATGAGTTAATATTTAATGTCACACTGGCAACATTTCAGCCATATCTCGGCTAAAACAAGTTATAAATACATGACAAATGAATGATAGTTGAATGATAAACACCTGTGGAAGAAGGACTAAATATCACCAGAAGATCACAGATTTAGATATAAAACTAGTATGTAAAACTAAATCATTTAAGCTTAAATTTAATTTGAATGTTAACTACGTACCCTCTCAGAAGGACAATATTCTATGACAAGTCCCCTGAGAGGACCTATGTGGCCAATTTAGCTCCCACCCTAAATATCAGGATCCACGAGCGGGGGACATCGTTTGATGTCCTTTCCAATATCTGGCAATCAAAAAGAGCATGCGTTTGGGTGTTGCTCTCTTCTCTTCGGTCGGCTTGCCGACCGGTGTACAGTGCTTCCAGGTCGCCCACACGACCTTCAAGAGAAACACGGTGGCTAGCGAGAGGTAAGTTCACTTTTGGACGCGATTCTACCGTCTGCCCCACCTTCTGCATGTCCAGACGGGTGTCTTCCTGCACCGTCTGTGCAACTGCCTCTGTGCTTTCTATTTCCTTGCGGAGTTCGGCAGCGGCATCCAGCATAGACAAGATGTCTACCAACATATTCATTGTTTGCTCCACACGGGCCTCGATCCTCCGTAGGCGGTCGTAGAAGTCCTGTATCATCGGATTTGTCGCTGGTGGGCGAGAGGGTTGACGGTTCTGAGGTAGGTAATACGGTTGTGCTGGAGGGGGGGAGGTCGGATTTGGAGATATCTCCCTAGCGGGGGAGGAAATGGGTTTTGTAGCAATATGCATATCTTCTTCTGTATTCCATATATTGCGTAGTCGATTGGAACCGATTCCAAATTGTTGTTTCGTTTCAGAAATCTTTCCACGCATCTTGCGAATCTTTTCCACTTGCGATAGTTGTCTTTTCGGAGGCATTTTTTTGTACTATATATCTAGAATCGCACAATTGTCTAAAAGAAAACTTGGCAGAAACTAGGCAAACTAGGCACAAACTAGGTGCAACCTAGGCAAAAACTATTCAAACTAGGTGCAAACTAGGTACAAACTAGGCACAAGCTAGGTAAACACATGTCTAAGACTAGGAAACCTAGTTTTTCCACAGTATTAGCAAATCCAAGCAAGAATAGCAAACTTTCGGAAAAGAGAAACGTGGGAAGATGTCTGCCATGCAAGCAAAAACACAAAGCTATTGCGAGAGCGTGGGTGATCGAGTTAAGATTTTAAGTCACATCGGCAGTATTTCAGCCATATCGTGACTATATCAAGTTATATATTAACAATAATTATAGGTAAAGCACAGGAACCTGCCAACGAAGGACAATAAAACAACTTGACTATCACAGATATTATATATTGTAAAACTAGTAATGAAATCTAAAACAGTTTAACCATACATGACAACACAATATAATAACAGGCTATAGATCGCCAACAACTGAAGGTAGATCACCATACTAGGAACCATGGGGACTTACAATGCCTTTGCTACCTGCATGGACCCTAGCTGGATTTACATCATCCCTTCAGCCGTTAACAATTTTGACAAATCTAGCCAGACATTAAAAAGACACATATTCTACGATTAAAAGGTGAAGAGTTTAAATTTACTTTGAATTTTTTGGGATACTTACGTATCCCCTCAGGAGGACAATAATTTTACAGTACTTTAACCCCCCTTGAGGATACAGCCACTAACAATCTGAGTCACTAATTCAAACTTCCAATCACAAAATATTTATCTCTTTACAAATCATTTAACAAATTTAATTCTTCTAAAATGCGATAATTAAATGAGAACTGTTATTATTAAAAAGATCCTTCATAGTTCGTGATTTAAAATAGTTATCCCTTGTGATGGAATTTTCAACACAGTCAAGCAAGACATGCTTGACTGTGATTCTTTCATGACAAGGGATGCAAAATGGAGGATCTTCACCTTTCAATAGGTATTCATGAGTATATCTTGTGTGGCCAATACGACATCGTCGCATGATGACCTCTTCAAATCTGGACTGACAACCTAAGTAGGTATAACCAATTGAGGGTTATATTTCGTGTAATTTATTAATACCTATTTGGGTGTCCCACTTCTTCTGCATCAGATCACGGATGTCCGATCTAATCAGAGCTTTGTAATTATAGTATGGAATAAGAAGTGGTGTCACAGATTTGTTGAGTGCTGCCCTAGCAGCAAGATCGGCCATTGTGTTCCCAGAAATGACAACGTGGCTGGGTAACCAACAGAAAACGATGTCATATTGGCCAGTAGCAAGATCATTGTATAGTTCAGTGATTTCTATTAAGACTGGGTGTTTGGAAAAAAGATTTTTAATAGCCTGAAGGCAAGAAAGAGAAAATATGATATATTGTTTATATTTTGGGTGTCTATTAATATATTTAAGAGCTGTTAGTATCGCATTTGCTTCTGCTGTAAAAATAGAGCTGTTATCCGGTAATCGAGAAGATATTGTTCTGGATCCAACGACAGTAGCACAAGCCACTGCGCCACCATCCTAGGATCCATCTGTAAATAGGGATGTATATGTATTATATTTATTCCTTATTTGATTAAATTCTTGTTTATATTGGAATTTATTAGTTTCTGATGTTTTAAATGTGGTTAATGTTAGGTCGACTTGGGGCCTAACCAATTGCCAAGGAGGAAAAGAAAGCAGACGGGAAGGAAAATATTTTCTAGCTGGAACAAGAGAAGATGTTTTTTTTGTACAGATCCTCATTGAGGGGATTAAAGACACAGTTATATGCAGGGTTCATCTGATTCGAATATAGGTTAGCAATATACTGCAAAAATAATTTGAAACGGCGTTGGTTTAAAGAAGGCTCGTCAGCTTCAAAGTAAATACTGTCAAAAGGAGAAGTTCGGAAAGATCCATGACAAAGTCTTAGACCTTGGTGGTGGATAGAATCAAGAAGTTTCAAGTTGCTTTTACAGGCCCCAACATATACGATGGAGCTGTAATCATGTCTTGATCAGATGAGTGATCTGTACAAATGAAGGAGGGTAGTTTGATCCCAACCCCACTTTGAACTTGACACGACTTTTAATAGATCTAATGCCTTCAAGCATTTAGTCTTCAAATACTTAATATGTGGTAAAAAGATCAAATGTTGGTCGAAAATCAGTCCCAGAAATTTGGCTTCCTTCACGACGTTAATTGGAGAACCATCTAAGAACAATTCGGGATCTTTATGAGGCTTATACTTCCGACAGAAATGTATACATTTGGTCTTTATCTGTAAAATTTTAAAGCCATTCTCAAGTGACACATCTGTAATTGTCTCTCAATGGTATACATATTTTTATCACGACATGAAACGTTAAAATCATCCACAAACAATGACCCATCTATTGAGTCATTTAATACTTTTGGGAGACTATTGATTTTTATGCTAAACAAACTAACAGACAAAATACCGCCTTGTGGAACCCCCAGATCCTGATTATAATGGTCAGACAGGGTTGACCCAACACGAACTTGAAATTGTCTGTCTGCTAAAAACTGGGATATGAAATGAGGCAAACGGCCTCTTAAACCAAAGTCATGTAAATCTCTTAAAATACCATGTTTCCATGTTGTATCATAAGCTTTTTCCAGGTCGATAAAGATTGATACAGCATGCTGGTTATTTACAATGGAATTATTAACGAATGATTCTAGGCGAACCAAATGGTCAATAGTGCTTCTATTTTTGCGAAAACCCCATTGAATGCTAGAAATATGATTATTGGATTCTAGAAACCATACTAATCTATTATTGACCATGCGTTCCATGGTCTTACAAACACAGCTTGTTAAAGAAATTGGTTTATAGTTAGATGGATCTGTATTGTCTCGGCCAGGCTTTGGTATTGGCACAACAATGGCATGACGCCACGAAGGAGGAAAGTGTCCTGTTGTCCACATATGATCAAAAATGTTCAGAAGTGTTTCAAGACATGCATTGGGTAAATGTTTCTGGAGCTTATAGTGGGTGTTATCTGCTCCAGTTGTCGTATCATGAGCTTGCGCCAAGGCAGTATTCAGCTCATGCAATGAAAATACTTCATTATAGTCTTCACTATATCTTCAGAATGAAAGTTAAGTTTCAACTGTTCTTGATGATTTTTATATTTCTGAAAATTGGATTATTATTTGATGAAGAAGAATGAGCAGCTAAAGCTTCAACCTACTTGTTAGCAATGTCAATTTTATCCGTTAACATACTGTGTCCATCTTTAAGATGATGAACACTAGAATTTCTACCTTTGCCCTTGATTGCCCTGTATCATGTTCCACACATTCGTCATTGGTGTACGTGAATTAATTTGTTATACTAAGTTCTTCCAAGACTGACGTTTACTTTGTTTAAAAGTACGTCGAGGCTTGGCATTATTTATTTTTTATATTATTTAAATTGTGAACTGTACGATGTCGTCGAAAGTACTTCTCATGCATTTTTCTACACTTCCTTGCTCGTTTACAATCATCAGAAAACCATGGTTTACGACTATGAGGTTTAGCAGAGGACCTAGGAATAGTTTCATCAGCGAAGGTCGGATTTCAATTTGTCAGTACAAAGTGTTTGGAATAAAGGCCAATTAGCCTTATTAAAATTCCACCTTGTGGGCCATTAGTCGGATTTGTAGCTGAGAGAATTGTGGGAAAATGGTCACTACCACAGAGGTCATCATGGACCAACCATTCAAACTCTTTATAAATAATTGGAACTGAGAGTGACAAATCAAGTTCAGAATACGTTCCCGTACAAGGATGTAAATAAGTGGCTGATCCATCATTAAATATGCATAGACTATTATTAGAAATGAAGTCTCAATGATTTTCCCTTTATTGTTCGACCGCCACCTGACATTCTTACCACACATAAAATGTTTGAAAACAAAGTGCTTGAAGGCTGTAGACTTGCTAAAAGTAGTCTCAA